TCACACCAAGATGGCCGTGCTCTCTGTCGAGGTGCGTTACATGACACACGTGCATGTATACTCACATGCGAGTAGGCAAACACACATGCATGAATGCACGCAAACACACATGCTTGAATGCACGCAAACACACGAGGTGCGTTACTTTCACAACGTAAATACATACCAGCGAGTAGGCAAACACACCAAGATGGCCGTGCTCTGTGTTGAGGTGCATTACTTACACAATGTGCTTGTACACACACATGCACGAGTGCACGCAAACACCCACACACTCACACACATGAGCGTGTCATGTGCGCAATGTGTTTCTCTTTACTTTACTCCAACTCATGAACATGCACTAACTGACCGTTATTGTGTCCATGTGCTGCTTTTTACTTGAAAAAAAACATGTCCAAAAGGAATCAGGTCGTTATTGTTTCGATGTGTTTCTTTTATCCCAAACTAATGAATATGCAGGAAATGACCGTTGTTGCGTCAGTGCGCTTTTGTTTACTCAAACAAACATTTGCACAAAATAGGCATATCATTCATGGGTGGTTGGCGGGTGCTATGGTGGGGGGGGGTGTTTGTTTTCTGTTGGGATTTTTTCCAACAGAAAAACACATGTTGAATGTGGTGGCAGTAGCAGAAACGCTTGGAGCATGCTGATGGCTCGTGATGAACACTTTGCCGTCACAACTCACCAATCGACGAGAATGCCCAACATCCACTCCCGCCACAAAACGCCGTTCGGTGGTGTTTACGACCCATTTTCTTTGGATTTCCTCCCAAAATGCCTGTGATGGCAAGGGTTTTAACTATATGAGCCTTGAGATGGCAAAGTGTTAACCCTATCTGTACACCCTGGGGTCATTTTGTACCCCCGGGGTTGTATTTTTCACGTTTTAGATCAGTATTTCTCCAAAAATCATTTTGACAGACTGCTATGCAAAGCATACAGATCGGATTAACGAGTAAATTTCCTCTTAGGAAAGTGGGGGCACAGAGTTCCTCAGGTCGTATGGATACCATAGTAAAACACGACGTACGAATAGATATCTAGGGTTAAAGTAAAAATACTTGCAATTGCTTTACAATTGTTATTCTCTTCTCTCTCCTCCCCTCCCCTCCACCCCTCTTTCTCTCTCTCTCTCTCTCTCTCTCTCTCTCTCTCTCTCTCTCTCTCTCTCTCACGCCCCCCCCCCCTCTCTCTCTCTCCCTCCCTCCCTACCTACACCTGGTTTGATGCTATGAACATTGCAGATTGCTTAACCACATCTGTACACCCTGGGGTCATTTTGTAACCCCGGGGTTGTATTCTTCACATTTTAGAATACCTCTTGTACGAATATCTCTTCGGAACTTTCAGTATTCCTCAAAAAATCGTTTTGGCAGACTGCTATGCAACGAATTAACGAGTAAATTTCCTCTTTGGAAAGTGGTTGCACAGAGTTCCCCACGTCGTATGGATATGATAGTAGAACATAACGTACCGATAGAGTTAAGAATGTTGTTAATGATGACGACGATGATGACCGTTGCCTTTGTCGTGTCGTGTCAGGAGTGACGCCGCTACACACGGCCGTTGACAACGCTGACCTGTCGCAGGTACAACTGCTGCTGGCACATGGTGCGGAGATTGACATGACGGTAAGTGGGGGCTCACTGTCAGTTGTCATTGTTGTTGTTGTCAGCTGTCATGCAATTGTCACTGTCAGTTGTCATTGTTGCTGTCACTGTCAGCTATCACTGTTGCTGTCAGTTGTCATTAATGCTGTCAGTTGTCATTGTTGCTGTCACTGTTGCTTTCAATGTCAGTTGTCATTGTCGCTGTTACTGTCTGTTGTCACTGTTGCTTTCAATGTCAGTTGTCATTGTCGCTGTTACTGTCTGTTGTCACTGTTGCTTTCAATGTCAGTTGTCATTGTCGCTGTTACTGTCTGTTGTCACTGTTGCTTTCAATGTCAGTTGTCATTGTCGCTATTGTCAGGTGTTCAGATATGAAATGGTAAGGGGGGGGGGGGTCGGTGGGCAGATGAGAGAGAGAGAGAGAAACAGACCAGACGAACAGACAGCCAGAGAGGGAGACTGAGAGACAGAAAAGCGGGCAGGCCGAGATACCGTGAGAGAGAAAAATAGAGATAGAAGGAAGGAGGGAGAGGGAGAAATAGAGACAGGTAGGCCCAATGAAAATGGAAGGTTTTAAAATTATTTTTTTTCCAGTGGTATTTGTGCGCACTTAAATATAACAAAAGCCGGAGGTTTTAAAAGTTATTCGATATTTTTGCCCACTTTAACCCAACAAAAAACAGGATTTTTTTTTTCTCAATGGTAGGCCTACTTTGGCTCACACATAATAAAAACAGGAGACAATTATTTATTTTTCACCGGTAGGCTACTTTTGCCCTCTTTAACTGACATCCTATATTTTTCTCTCACCGACACTTTTCTGCTGTCAGGACGGTAAGAGCGGTCGCACGGCGCTGTTCCGCGCGGCTGAGAGCAACCAGAAGCTGATGGTGGAGCTGCTGCTGCGCAAAGGAGCCAACCCCGACATCCACAACTACGCCGGGGTCACGTGCGCCATGGCCGCTCAAGGTCGCAACCTCCACGGCGTGCTCAAGCTGCTGGGGTCGGTGGCCACTGACTACATGGACTATCACACCAAGATGGCCGTGCTCTCTGTCGAGGTGCGTTACATGACACGCGTGTATATACACACACATGCCAGTAGGCAAACACACATGCATGAATGCACGCATACACACCAAGATGGCCGTGCTCTCTGTCGAGGTGCGTTACATGACACACGTGTATATACACTCACATGCGAGTAGGCAAACACACATGCATGAATGCATGCAATCACACCAAGATGGCTGTGCTCTCTGTCGAGGTGCGTTACATGACACACGTGTATATACACTCACATGCGAGTAGGCAAACACACATGCATGAATGCATGCAATCACACCAAGATGGCTGTGCTCTCTGTCGAGGTGCATTACTTACACAAAATGCATGTATACGCACATGCAAGTTGGCAAACACACATGCTTGAATGCACGCAAACACACATGCTTGAATGCACGCAAACACACGAGGTGCGTTACTTTCACAACGTAAATACATACCAGCGAGTAGGCAAACACACCAAGATGGCCGTGCTCTGTGTTGAGGTGCATTACTTACACAATGTGCTTGTACACACACATGCACGAGTGCACGCAAACACCCACACACTCACACACATGAGCGTGTCATGTGCGCAATGTGTTTCTCTTTACTTTACTCCAACTCATGAACATGCACTAACTGACCGTTATTGTGTCCATGTGCTGCTTTTTACTTGAAAAAAAACATGTCCAAAAGGAATCAGGTCGTTATTGTTTCGATGTGTTTCTTTTATCCCAAACTAATGAATATGCAGGAAATGACCGTTGTTGCGTCAGTGCGCTTTTGTTTACTCAAACAAACATTTGCACAAAATAGGCATATCATTCATGGGTGGTTGGCGGGTGCTATGGTGTGGTTTGCTCCTTCTTTCCAATAAACTATAAAAAACCTATCGTCTTTATCTCCCCTCCTTTTTTTTGTGATATGTTACTCTCTTGTAACTCCTCTAAATCAAATCTTCGGCACTTATATGACCTTATTGCGTTGCAAGTGCCGTAAAACTCTTACTAAAACTAAGGAATGTCTCTCTCGTTTCAGGCCAAGCCGACGGTGTACATGAACGTCCCAGGCTCTCCGACCCCCTCGGTGATCAGGGGAGACAAATTGTTCCCGCTAGTGACGCAGCAGTTGCAGGACGAGGACGGTCAGCAGGTGCGAGAGCCGCAGCAGCGGGCGATTGTGTCGGCCGCCGCCCCTGTTACAGAGGTCAGCACGCCGCGGGAGACGCGCGTCTACCACAATGTGTTTGTCGTGTCGCAGGTCAACAAAGGTGAGGGACAGTGAGAGACATGCGTGTACCACAACATCTGTCGTCGTTATCTCCCCTGTCTTTATCTCCCCCCCCCCCTTCTTTTTTATGTTTGTTACTCTCTTGTAACACCTCTAATCTTCGGCACTTAGATGACCTAATTGTGTTTCAAGTGCCGTGTAAAACTCTTACAAAACTATAAACCCGTGGTTCTTTAACCCCCAAAAAATTGTTCAATCTTACATGCCACTTTATTAATTTTGCTATGTAAAATTCTATACATGATCTACTTTTCAAAAGTAATAATTTTTTTCCATTGTCACCCCCCCCACACACACACACACACCCACACCCACACACCCACACACAGGTGAGATGCGGCCCTCATTGTCCGAGCCAGCGTCGCCCGACAGCTCCCAAGGCCCCAGTCCCTCCTCCAGCACACCAGCCACCGCCCGACACGCCCTTACTACCGGAGGACTCCTCTCCCTCCCCGAGGTCTCCCTCTTCTCCTCCGCCCGCCTCACCTCCTCTCCGCGCCTCTTCTCCTCCTCCTCCCCCCGCAGCGGACCCTCCTCCCCTCAGATCATGTTACAGCCCGGATCGCCGCTGCCCGCAAGAGTTATGGTTCTTCCCTCTAAGGTGAGCAGTGGGGTCTCCGTCCTGTTGTGTACAGGCTTTTTACTTATTTAAGAGATTGGGGGGGGGGGGGGTAAGTGTTTTATGGCGCTCACAACTGCATACAGTTAAATATGAGTGTGCGGGACACATTAAACATTTTCATTTAGTAGGGAATATTGAATTTTGCCCGGGTGGCGGCCGAAGCCTGCTCATCGATTTTGGACCTCCAATCTTTAATTTTAGAGAAGCTATCAGGATTCAAACTCAGGACCTGTTGAATGAGAGGCGAACACCTTAACCTCTAGACCAGGGGAGCCCCACTACCTTTGAGTTTACTGACACTGTTGAACCAACGCCAACAACCACCTGTCCAAGACAACCACCTGTACAAGATTATCACCTGTCCTAGACTATCACCTGTACAAGACAGCCACCTGTACAAGACAGCCACCTGTCCAAGACAATCACCTGTGTAATACAATCACCTGTACAAGACAGCCACCTGTCCAAGACAATCACCTGTGTAATACAATCACCTGTACAAGACAGCCACCTGTCCAAGACTATCACCTGTACAAGAAACCTCTTTGCACTCTCCTCCTTACTATTTAGAAAAATATATTGACACTGCCTAAGACATCCGCCTGCGTAGTAGGAATGGGCAGGTACCGGTTCCCAGTACCGGAACTTCCGGTTCTACCAAAGGAGGTGTCAGTACCGACACCTGGCCTCCAGTACCGGCTCCGGGAAGGAGCCGACACCAACGGTTAATACCGGCTCTGAGAAGGAGCCGACGCGACAGGTTTTTTTTCTTACCGGGCCACGGGAAGTGTGCAGTGTGTAGGCCTAGGTATAGCAGCAGTGACGTCAGATGCACACAACGCAGCATAGCGGGTGACCTTGATACAGGACTTCAGATTAAAAATTGACAATCAAAAACGAAGTTTGCTTAAATTTATAATATGGCTTCAAATCAGGTTCCATGTGAGCCACTGCTTATTTTGATACGCTGATTCCGAAAATGAAATCAATTTTTAGCGGCGATAACTATTTTTAAAATTCTGCTTGCAAAGTTTAGTCCCACACGGCGGCAAACTTCAAAGGTATTTTTCGTCACAGTTCGCCTCTCCAATTCTGACTGGTGCGGGCGGCGCTGATCGTGGCGTTAGACGCAAGACGCGAAGTCTGTGACGTCACCTACTGGTGTCACTCCCAGTACCGGTGCCGGTACTGGCGGGTCTCGGCACAGTACCGAGACTGGATTTCGCTGGTACCGCCCACCACTACTGCGTGGGTGGTTGACAAATGCTATCTATCGTCCTCATCTCCCCTTCTTTTTTTGTGTTTGTTACTCTCTTGTAACACCTCTAATCTTCTGGCGCTCATATGACCTTATGCAATTGCGAGCGCCGTAAAACCTCTACTAAAACTAAACATCCGCCTGCCTAAGACAATCATTTTTTTCCTTGACAATGGATGGTTGTCCTGGACAATTTCCAAGGCATGTTATATCTTTTTGAAACAAGTAAATGACGAATTTATTTAAAAAGCCACAAGACACATACTATTGTAGGCTGCGGGCTAGAGGTGACTATGTCCACATTGCTTGTTTGGAGAAAAATGGATGTTCAGGGCAAGGACAATATACAGTGCAGCCTCTCTATAACGACATCATCTGGACCAGAAAAAAATGTCGTTAAAGAGAGTGCTCGTTATAGAGAGGCAACCAAAAATTACTAATGATATATAATGGGGAAAAGATCGGGACCTGGGCACCATGTCGCTATACAGGGGATGTCGTTATATATTGAAGGTTGTTATGTTGTTGTGGGTGGTTGGCGGGTGCTCTGGTGTGGTTTGCTTCTTCTTTCCTATCAAACATCTATCGTCCTTATCTCTCCTTCTTCTTTTTTATGTTTGTTACTCTCTTGTAACACCTCTAATCTTCTGGCGCTCATATGACCTTATGTAGTTGCGAGCGCCGTAAAACCTCTTCGTAAACTAAACTATCTCTCTCCTCATTCTTTTCTTTCCTTTACTACAGCGCAGCCTCTCTACAACGACATCGTCTCGTCGGGACCAGAAAAAAAAATGTTGTTATAGAGAGACAACCAAAAATATTACTAATGAAAAATAAGGAAAATATCGGGACCTTGGCACCAAGTTGCTATACAGAGTATGTCAATATATGTTGAAGGTCATGTTGTTATTGAGAAGCTGCACTGTATCTAGTATCACCTCTAATCTTCGCTACTCACTTTTATATGACCTATTTGTGTTGTTGCAAGTGCTGTAAAACTTTTACTTAACTAAAACTTGACACACTCCGCCCCGCCCGTCCTCAGATTGGCGCGAGACCGATGAGCACAGCCCGCAGCCCGGTGGAGAAGATGGACATGTCCGGACCGCCCGCTGCCCAACCGCTGCCACACCGACCTCGGCCGCCCCCACCACCACCAGCTCAGCCGGAACAGCGAGTGTCCAGCACCTCCTCTCCCCGGGGGGTCATCGACAAGCCGGCCGACTCCTCCTCCTCCTCCCCGACCCTCGCACCACCTCTTCGGATGACCTCATCGCCTGCTGCCAGCGTCGACAGCCCCGCCTCTGCATCGCCCTCGGGGCGTCTCACCTCCCCGAACAATTCTCCGGCGGCTGTCGACAAGGTGACCTTGACGGGAATCCAGGCCCGGCTGTACCAGAGGCTGCTGGAACACATGCACAGCATCGACTCCTCGCAGCCAGCTGCCGGCCCCGCGAAACTCGCCGTGGCAGGGGGTGTCGGGGGCGCTACTGCGGGAGGGGTTGGACAACGGAGCATTCTCCACCCCCCTTCCTCCACCGCCCTCTCCTCCTCCTCGTCCTCCTCGCGGATTTCTACGCTTCCCACGCCCCGCGGTCTCACTCTCAGCGACGTCGGTGGTGGTGTTGCAAAAGTTATCGGCAGTGGTCTTGGTGGTGTCCCCTCTCGTGTGGTTCAGGCCGGCCCCCGTCTTCGCGCGCCGCTCACCCGGAAAGTGGCGAGTCCCGAGGTGATAGAGGCGGGCGCGGTGAGGAAAGCCTACGTCGTGCCGACTCCGACCTACGCCGCCGCCGGCCGCCCGAAAGCCGCAAGGAGTCCGGCTGCCGTCACGCCGCGGTATTCCTCGCCACCCAGCAACCCCGACGTGCCCCTTAACCTCTCCTCCAAGCCCGCTATGGCCTCCGGTCTAAGCTCGGTCCCCGACTTGAGAACCGACATCGGCCTCCTTCCCAGCAGTCCCGTCCCCGGCGAGTCTCACGCAGCAGGCTCGCATGTTATTTCGATCGGCTTACGTCGGGCCAGCGTTGAGGGGACGGCGGCCTCCGCTACAGTGGTAGCCGCTCCGGTCGGCGTAGCAGCAGGAGGAGGGAGGCTGTCCCAGTACAAGATGCTTCTCCCGCAGTCTTCCTCCTCCTCGTCGCCGTTAGTGGGGGGCGACAACCACAGCGTGCAGGACTGGGGTTCAAACACCAGCGTGGTCATGGTGGAGGAGAGGGGCGTGGTCTCCAGCTTTCCACACATCACCAAGTCGGTGTCGCCCAAGACGGCTCATCTCGTGCACTCCTTGCTCTCCAGGAAACAGCAGCAGCAGCAGTCGGTTGCCGCTCACCCAGGCTCCTCCTCCTCCTCCCCTCTCTCGTTCGTCTCCGTAGCGCCCGATAACACTCCACGCCCACCCTCGTCGTCCTCCG